TAGAAGATAGTGATGAGTCTGCCGAAGAAGTGATCAGTCCCAGATACTCGTTCATTCGGTTTAGCCAGCGAGAAATAAAACTATTTTCTATTGTCCCAGCTATACGTCAGACTAGGTCACGGTCATCTTTACCGAGCAGCAAGTGGTGCATTTAGGTCATTTGGCCTTAAGAATAGATAACATTAAATGTCTACAGGTCGTTCGTTACGCCTTGAGTTAGTAGTAACGAAAATTACAACGAAAATTATCAGCACTTTTCCGCCTCAATTTAAAAATGGCTTAAAACATTTTCGAGAGAGTTGAATCGCGAGTCATGAATAGCTTCACCATAGGACGCTACCATGACGGTCGTACCCTTTCCATGGGTATCTTTCGGTATAAGTGAAGAGCTACGTTTGTTTGCAGCTTAAGCAAGACCAAATCGAGCCATTGAAACTTTATCTTGTTGGAAAAAATTGCCGCGTGCGGTAGCTTCGAGGTCGCCGAGACGGTCTTAACAGAAGGCGGCATAGGTGGCAAGAACGCCACCATCTACACACGAACTAAGTGTCTGCCGCCGCGTGTGTTCAAGCCACACGAAGGAAGCTGTCTGGCTAGAGGTAGAGAGCAGTACCAAAGCGTCTAAGCCCAACCCAACCCAGCCCAGCCCAGCCCAGCCCAGCTAGTACTTGCTCGCTGTTTCTCTGCCATCAACCGATGACGCTGGCTCTAAGTGTACGCCAGCACTCACCACCACGAGACCCATTGCGCTGGCTCGTCATGGAACTGCGCCAGAGGCGAACCTCGACTCGTCTTCGGCGAGCCTCCCCATCGCTGGCCGTTGGCACTGCGATGGTTAACCCAGACCTACCGCTGGCTGCAATGTGGAACAGCGCTAAGACACGCGGCAACTGAGTGACGCATGGCATGTGTGTATGCGCGATACGATAGCGCTATGATTGCGGCGACGGCAGCAGCCGGGCAGGACGGACCTACTAACCAATCGGGCAAACCCAACCGAGAACACAAAACGTAGACCGTGCCAAATTGTATTTGAACTGAGGTGGACCTGTACGCCAGCTGGAAGTTTGTCGTCTTCATTCGCAAACATTAACGGAAAGAAAGCATCGACCATAAAGAATCTTGACAGATTATAGCACAAGTAGCACGCAAGCGGCAGCCATCGTATCGCTACCGGTCGTATACTCCAAGGTAGAGTGGGAGTAGTTCAGCTGCACGTTGATACATTCAATTATTCTATAATATCCTTATATTGTACGTGTTTAAAAAATGAAAGTAACGCTCAAGTCTGTGCTGGGCTATTAAATGGGGTGGCGCGGATAAAGTGTAACTTCGCCTATTATGCTTAGGCTAAGGGATAATGCAAAATCCACATATGCTTACAAACAATTGTGTAATTTCCAAACGCGTTTTTTAACGATTTCTCTTGGTCGATAGTACGATTTCAACAAATTCCCCAAGGACACGTCATTTATCGATTCATTGCAGTGATTTCTATGAATCACAACCCATTCACCTACACTGAATTAAATTTAAATCAAATTATAAATCTGATTAAAACGGAGTTAAAAATACCGACATAAATCCTTTGGCATTATTATATAGGTTTTTCGTGCTCATGGCGTGATCTGGTATCTGAAAGAGCCTTCACATCCAGTTATTTCTAAAGGACGATGCGGAAGAGGCGGAAAACGGTGAACAGGACGTGGGAACAATCGTAAACTAATTATAAAATAAATAATAAGTATAAAATATAAAGAAATAAAAGCGATACATGGTACTGTTTTTAATTAAAATTCTGTTTTATGAAAACTAGAATGAAAAAAAAGACCAAAATAGGTACTTTGCAGTGTACGTTTATTCCACTTAGCTCTGGTGTTTATCCATATTGAAAGCATTTCCTTGAATGAATAGAGAGCATATTACACCAAGGACTAGAAAAGCTGAAAAAGTACTGGCATAAGCTAAAAGCCACGCAGATACACATGATCATATGCAACCTTCGACCATAATGGAATCTATTGGACCTAACCAATTTGTGTTGAGGGCCGACAAGCAGGCAGCAGTACCTGGCTGACAGCATGCCTCTAATGAAATAATTATACGGGTTATTGTATTAATTATGACCCTATAATTCAACGTATACAGTACTGCGCAGCTGAGTCCAATAGATATGGAGTATAAAATACACTGCATTGAACTTAAAAAAAAACAGAAAGAAAATTGTCGATTCCTTCTTGTCCATTGTATCACCTCAGAATGGTTGATCATTGATCAGCTCGATGTCTGACTCCTCGACTGAAAGGTTGTACTGGCAGGACCGCCCGCGGCAGCTAGAGAATTTGAGCCAGGCCATCATATGCTTTTTCCTCGCACCTCAACCTATTTGGTTCTTTCACATACAAGCGATATTGAGGACTTCGTTCCTCTCGATAAATGTCGCCGTTTTTCGCTCCGTCAGTCCTCTCTCCTCCTCTTAGCTCTGGTGGCTCTCTGCTTTGCGCAGATGTCGCGTGCGAACTACCACCAGCAGTAGTTCCCGCTGCTCAATGACGAGCCATAGGAGGAGGCCACTAGTTTGATCAGAAAACGAAAAGTCCATGGGTTTGGCGAGATTCGCCGACCAACATGTCGATCAACCAGACCCTAGCATCGTTCAACCACGAAAAGCGACGCCGACCCAGAAAGTGCCCAAATGAATACCGTTTTCCGCCGATGCGCTCCGCTTGACTCAGTGGAAAGCGCGTTTTGGAGAACAGCACGTTGAAGTACGAATAGAAAGCTAGTTCTCCCACCCGACAGGCATCGGGCAACATAAAGCCAATCGAATCTAGTGACTCGTGGTCCTCAATGATGAGCAAGAAGCTTGTTGAACTTCATCTTTGCTGCTGGTGTAGCCAGTACATGTAGGGACAAAATCCGTATAGGGGCAGGGGTGAATTTTGGAGTGCGTTTGGGATCGAACCGCTAAGGGACTGTAGAAGGGGCTCCGAGGAGTGTAATTCAGATAAACACTGAAAAGACGGAGAGATAAGGAAGAGCAGGAGGGGAAACCAATGACGAGATGAAATAAAATCACCCGTGCGAGCACTACGGCCATGCGGGACTAAGGGGTGACTGGTACCAGCGCTCGGAAGTAGCCATCGAAGAACTGTTCAGGCAGACACAGTTCGGCCATGTGCATTGTGTGCATGGGGAGCAGAACAAGACGGCGAAAATGGTGGCAGCAAAAGAATGAGACACCCATAATGAGAGGGGGGGGGGGGAGCATTACTGACAGACGAACCGACCTGAAGCAGCCGTCGCAGGAGTCGAGCACGCGGCATCGAATCCGAGGCACCGGATGATAGGCGAGTCTGTGACATGCGGCGTGCGACCTCCACTGACTATCGAATGCATGAAACCTAAAGGCGAAAACACGTTCGCAAGCGAAAGCTAGCGAACAGAAGCAGCGCTATTTGTGGCATCTAGTGCTGTTACTGGCCTGGCGTAAAGGCCCCCTGGGGGTGAGGCTTAACGATCATTAACTACCGATAAAGCCTCGAGATTTTCGGTTCGAAGTGCGCACTAATAGGTACCGTTGTCTATAGTAAGCTTTGAGCAAGCCTTACTTCAGAATATTTCAGATCACCGACCACACAGTTAAGTCAAAGAAGCAGATTTGCTGCCATTTTATTAGATTATTATTATAAAGTAAAAAAAACTTAGCACTGAGTCCAGGATAATACGATCAAAAAACCTCTGAACCCGTTTAGCATCTTAGTGCCCAAAGGAATTTAGTAAAATTCAATCTGATATACTTAATAACTAGCAAATATTATCAAAAGGAGCACTTTTATATTCGACGACTTCCACGTAATCATTCTAAGTCTAGCATCATTCTCCCCTTAGTTTGCTATCATTTCTACGAACGCGCCCTTAATGCGCTTCATGTGACTCCCGCTTATGGAGATGACGAGCAACGAAGCTGGTTCGAAGGTGATCCAGCTGATTCTTCCCCTGCTCGACGTTGCCTTTAAATCTTCATGCGGTCTATGCAGCAGCGTTATTGTTTGCATTACGTCTGTAACTGGGAGTGCCCTTATCAGGGCTCGACGCTAGCACTGCCGACTTGTCGCTTTTAGCAGCCAGCAAAGCTGTGTGAACGGCAATGAGCTAACTAATCATTATTGCCGTTGTTGTTGTCAAGCAACATCGCCACCATCGGTGAGCATTTTGGCAAGCCACGACAACCATCATGGTATCGCACTATTATCTCTTGGGGCAACCCAGAGCGTCCGCCTGGCAAACGAGAAATTCTTGGAGCAAACGTCGATGAGCATCAGCTAGTGTTCTCCCCATCGCGCTGCATAGTGGCAGTACAATGGTTTGAGGTTTGCTGCAGTTCGTATTTGTTTTTGTATCTTCTTCTACGTTCGAGCGTAACGTCTAGTCGGTAGCTGGCATTCGTGTTCCTTGTCGCAGCTCCGTGGTCCCGGTGTTTGTTGAGCTGCTGTTGTGTGACGTGGTAAATGAACGACCACTCGCTCCCTCCCTGCCCTATGGGCTCCCTAGTGCACTCGCGCATTAAGTTTCCCCTGCTCGGCTTTCGCCGCCAGCCGTCAGGAGCTAATCTATTAGGCAATGCTGGTTATGTTGAATCCGATATTCCTTGAAAACAACTATCTGGCTACCTCGCTTATACCTATGTTTAAGCATTCGTGCTAGTCGTCTGCCTATGTGCCAAATGGGCGCAGCTGAGCGCGCAGAAGCCACTCTTTCTTTGCTCTAACAACATTCGTTGTGGCGCTCGCCGCTACCACGACGATGTACCCGACCCGGCAACCGAATGCGGTAAACAATCGCGCACGCACGCCCTGTGTCGTCGTGTGGGTCTATGTGTTTGTCTGTGTGTGTGTCTTTGCGCGCCGGTGTGTTCCATCTGGTATGTTATTGACATCCGAGTCTCAGCTGAATATGGTACTGGCCCACTACCCATAGACACGCACAGACGAATGGCAAAACGATGCACACGTGTAGCACAGCAGCCTGTTGTAGGAACGGAGACCTGGAGCGTCCTGACGTTGCGGTAAAACGCTAGTGGCAATAGATGTTAGCAGTAGCAGGAGTCATCACAGGCACAGTGGGTACAGCGAAGAGCCTATATGAGTGCGGGTGGATCAAGGCGCGTTTCCATTACGTCGCGCCGTGCAACACTCACGTTCTTCTTAGATTCCGGCTTCAGCCAGGCGCTGCCATAGTCATTTAATGAGAGCTTACGTTTACGTCAGAAGCAACGCCGGTGCTTCTCTTCCGTTTATCTGCCTGATGATTGCTAAAGTGGCATCGTGGCATTGACGCTCCAGGAAGAGCTTCCAAGCATTGCTCCTGTAACGACTTCTGCCTAGCGACTACTTTTACCGCGATGTTGGTTGCTCCGCATTCAGAGATTAGACTAAATGCTATCTGTATAGGAATTGCAGAGAAGGTACCGAACACGAAAAGATGTAACGGCAAACAAAATTTGAGTGCGACCGAAGCAAGTAAATGAATATAAGAAGTTTTGTAGAGGCTGTCACAAGTCGGCCACTGGTTACTTAACCCAACAAGCGGCTAGCTTATAGATCAATATATAGTAGTGTTCGTTGGGTTCATCGTATTTGAGTACTCGAGATAGGTCCTATGACATGACCTGTGCCATGCAGTGGTCAACTAGAGCACGCAAAGCAAAAAACACTACTCGAAAGCATAAATAACAGATAGATTTATTATATTTGCTCCCCACTTAAGAACAATATTTTAAGAGTGTAGCCGATAATGAAATATATATTTTGTCATGGCAACAAGTTTGAGCGAAAACAATAATTGTCCAAAGCACGAATTAAGCACATTTGTTAGTTAAAGGATTAATATTTTACAAATATTGGAGTTTTGTCACTGATCTGTAGGTATACCAAGTACCTTGAGAACTGCGACGTATGTTACTCTATTCTTATGTTAAATTATATCCGATTCTTTCAACGGACATCAGTGAATCAGACGGTGAGATAAAAAGCCACGTCGGTTTAATGATGATCACGACAATGGCAACTATTCTATTCGATTCCCGTTATTGCGCAGCTGCAGTTGACGTAGCGGCCTATCGCATAGCGTCGGCTAGATGACGTTAGCTGGTCCGATAGGTCGCAAGCGGGGAAAAAACAGATGAAACGCAGAAAGAGATTTAACTTACGGCTCTACGTATGCATCATAAACAGATAGATACCGATCGAGATCACTGCTTATGATCGAATCTCTCGGTCCCCTCCGTTCGTAGGTGGTCAGACCAGCGCGCCGCCTGGGCCGGCGACGCCTTCTGCCGATGGCTCCATTTTTGCTGCTGCTGCTATCGTCGTTGTTGGGACCAATGCTAGAGCAACAGACTTTCGGGTGTTTGTTTCACGATCGAAACATCTGTACAAACCTAGAAGCTGTTGTGGCTAGGAATGATTCGAAAATTTCTGGCCAACTGAAAATCTGCCATAGGTTGAACGCTACCTTCGACTTATACTTTAAAACAACCTAATAACAGCAGGATACAAACAAGCAAACGCGTAAAATAAATTGCGTGCAGAATTGTATTTTCGCCGCAAAAAGAAATTACCTCCTGCATTCGAGTTTTACTGTCTAGGCATCGAACAAAAGAGCAGCAAGTTAATTTTTAACTTGTGTGTGAGACACGTACAACCGAAACTTTATGTAAAACAATCTAGTGCATTAGCGTAAATCGTCTATCAATGCTACTTTTATTACTAAATGAAAAATATATGATATATAAAACTATTTTATTACCAAACAATATGATTTCTAGAACCTTCTTGTAATAGACCCATAATTGCTATGCAAGGGGAAAATATTCGTGTAATAAAGAACTTTCTTGTTTTTTTATAACCTGAGCGCATGGTGTTATCTTTTACCGATGTTATCTTTAAATTTGAGTAATTTTAAAGCTAAACAGCATTAATATGAGGTCCGTGGTTGTTTACGATGATGGAGCGGCACTAGAAACTATCGTTTGGGTTCGTGAAGATGGAAGCGTTGGTAGAATAAACCATAGATTGGCGAAGAACCGAAAGTGAGAAGGCCTTTAACAAAAAAAAAAGAAAACGAATCGTTATTAGTGCAAGCATTTTCTATAATGGATTTAAGTCACAGTCAAGGTTAAGTACACTTTAGGAATAACAAGTTGCTGCGATCACGAAAAGTTCTGTGCCAAAGAAAAAACGCGTTCGGATAGCGTTGAACCAACGGTAAATCGATGTCAGCGGTCGTGCCGAAAAGATTCGGGCTCAAGCCGGTGCTCATAGTCTCGGTGAGTGTCAGAGGCATCTATTACCTGGTAAGGAAACGGTCAGTGCTGCATAGGTATCTTGAATTCCCGACGACATCGCAGGCGTCGCCACGCTCGAATTTCAGCCGAGGCCTGGCTTCAGGAAGACTGAATTGAACGATGTCATCGGTTCGCATATTTTCAGGTTGAAGCCCGTGTGACTTAAATTCTTTGATGCACAAGAAGAGACGATAGTTGCTATCTTAAAAATTAATATTCCCAAATAAGCCATCGAAAATGAGGTTACGCATTGTAATGCAGAACACGCGTACACAGTTATTGCAAAACTCCCAGAGTTCCGACTTCAATAGAGTAACCATAAAGGCGGATACATCTAACACATACCAAAACATCGTTGTTCTATTTCAGATAATTTAAAGGTTAACCTTTTTGAGCCTTTAATATTTCCTGAAAACCTAATAAGTATTTCAATGACAGAATCTATGTGTTGGCTTCGTCTATTACTCATTATTTTCTGAAGAGTTCCTGCGACAGTCAATACTATAAAAATGATATGATCGCCTAAAGTGATTTACTTCTAATAAAATCTAGGTCAACAGTGAGATGATACTTAGCCTGGTCGACAAGCGAGACCGATTTTGAGAAAACTACCAAAAATCAATGGAGTTCTGGCAAATTTATTAAAGCTTTCGTCAATCATCTATACTCGTGGAAAGGTTCTAATCCTATCATAGTAGAGTGCTGAGATAAGTGTAAGCCTAAACACAGAGGAAGACTAAAATGCAATAATAAACACTCTTTTATTTTGTTCGCATCGCCGCCGTAGTCACAAGCTGTTATTTATATTTAAGCAAATAGTTTATATTACAATAAAGAGCCTTAATGATGAAACCTAGATGAAGAATATCGTGACTTTTACCAAAATCATCTTACATATCCATCTTCCATAATAACAAAGGTTACGATGTGTTTCAATTTCTTTTTTAGGTTTTTGTTGATGCTGGAATTTTTACTATTGTTTTTTCAATTTCTTTTTTAGGTTTTTGTTGATGCTGGAATTTTTACTAAAACAATATGCATTTCTAAGTGAAGACACTGCTTTTAGATTGTTTGCTTCAAGACACGGCTACTGAAGTTAATATTTCTATCCCTAAAACTAAACCTTGAAAAGACCTTACACAAGTTATTCTTGGCGGGATCGCTCAAATCATATTTGAAGTTTGTTAGTAAAACCAATCATATGGTTTGCAAACAAGATTGCTGGGGTAGATAAGTAATATCTTTCACATACTCTGAACGAGAGAATGATTCCACAGGCAAGCCTCAATACAGTGAGTGGACAACTTGACGCTGAGTTGTTGAAATTACGACTTCACGTGGAAGAGTCTGCTTTGTTCTGGTCTAATTTCTGTTGAATACCTGTTGTGATAACAGCAGGTATGGCCTCCGCAGTCACGTAGTATGAGATTGACGCACATATAATAATCATAATCGTTCACGCTGGCAATAACATTTCGTCCTGTTTGTAACGAAGAAAAACTTTTATCAAGACGACCCGGCCATAAATGCAGCCGCTTTTTCTAAACGTACCTTCTTTCGAAAGTTGAACACATATTGAAGAATGTTCTGCATCGTCTTGTCCCTTAGGGGCTCCGCACTGAGCCCATCGATGAGAGTGGCTAAGTACGCTGCGAACTCACCATTCGGAGTGCGAACAGTTTTTGGATGGATCACTGATGGCGACGAATTTGACTCAGCACAGCTTCCAATGCCCCGTTCAGCTTTTTTAGACGCTTGTGCAACATCTTGCAACCGCCGCTCACGTGAGGGCTTTCTTTCTGCTCACAAAAAATCAAGATCGTATCACACTATGGTAAATCCAGATGCCGATAAATTACTGATCTATTGAAACGCGCTGAATTTCAAGTACGCGGTTGAATAGACGATGATCACAGTGAGTTGAGCCTTATTCCACGCATATTGCGTCCTACGTATCGCTCAAAGTCGATATTTGTGCACAGTCGATAAAATCTTGTTATTACGTTCTAAGAAAAAAAAAAACAACTAATTAATTTTCCCATCATTATGAGGATATTTATGGTCAATCAACTCCCTTTTCGAAGCCACTCGTTTCGGTAGCGGATCTTCAGCGAGAGCCGAATGAAGCTCGTCAAACAAAGAACAAGTCGCATGTCGAGATGCTTCGTCAGAGTATAACATCATTGCTCGCTGATACTTGATACGCACAAAGCGAAATAGCCCAGTAAAATGAAAATACAGCAAATCTATCGTAATGTTTTCTCGATAGAAATTCCCAATATAGTACCAAGTGTATATAATACCAGTGCCAAATTAAATTCTGCCTTGCATCTCAGTGCTCAGCATAAACCCAGTAAAGGCAGGGTAAGGGTAAGGATGAGTCTAGAGATTTGAAAAAGGCTCACAGCCAGTTGACCGGCTTAAACTTAAAAGTAGCCGTACAATTGAAGCGGAGGTGCGACGGATCGTTCGTACGTTACGAAGATAGCTAAACAATTTCTTTGCATTGCAGCACTGACCGCCCAATCGTGAGGACGCATTCTACTGGCACGCGCTTTGAATCTAATCTGCTCATATGGCTGTGATGAGCATCGAAGTGTAGTGTCTTGTTATCATCCATAGCTTCGCATACGTCCACAATCTATGGTTTCATCCCACCAATGAATCGTGGCATCTCCGCAAAAGCTCTGTCCTTCACAATACCCCAAAGGAGGAAATCACGTCAGGAGGTAGCAAAGATGCCTCTACTGAACTAATCATGCTACCTAGTTTTTTGCTATGAAATAGAGGGGACCTTCCAGCCGTTAACAGTTGCTGTTAATAACTATCGCTAGTAACAGACTGTTGCTTCACGGGACAAAGCTGAAGGATCGACAGAGGTAGTAGGATGATGAAAAACACAGCTCAAAAAAAACAAGCATATATGTTAAAATGTGTTACGCATACGTTAGGATAGGTTGTATTCATAGATTTTGTATATTTCTTAATCGGTGAGATCAGCCTTTAGCTGCTTCCAGTGTTTGACAATATGAAAGTATGCCTGGGAGTAGCATGTAAAGAAGGCAATAATACAGAAGCAAACTTTGTACCATTTAAAGCTATCTAAAGGCGCGGCGTGCGATGGTAAGTGGTGTGACGCTATTGCTGTTAAGACTACTTAGAAGGCCAACTTAGACCTCGAATGGTCATTCTTTGCACATCTTTTTTAAATAGAAATATCTACCGCCATCTTTGCTGAATAACCACAGAAACGAAAGTCATTCTATTGCTGTCTGGGAATTCGTCATCTGAATGCGAAATGGTATGTTGATGTAACACATTTCGCATTATCATTCGTTTTGACTACACAACGAGAGTGTCTCCTCGTGATCATTGTGGCAGTTAATTTTAATCAAAGGGGTACATGGTGCCTCGGATTGCCACTACATCGCAAAGGGTGGGAACATACGTTCTTAGTACTGGAACATTTGGTCCTCAATATTCAACTATAAAGGGATCAGTATTGAACTCCAACAGCATCTAAAAGTATCGGATCTACCTGGAGTAGCACTGCGATCCATTCATAGTAAATGCTTTATTTTCGGCCTTGAGCCTATATTGATGAGGCCGGCAACTTTTTCCCATTCGGCTTTTGCGAGATTAAAACCGACCTTGTCTCGTTGGCGTAGCTGCGTGAAGTATGTCAACAATCTTCGGGAGTCAGCCATGTTCCACACACGGCGTTCCTCCCGAGATAGTACATTTGTATCTGTAGTGAGGCAAACAACGGGGCAGTGATAAATACGCGTTTAGAGTTCTTCATTAAAGGATAGTGAATGAAGAGTGTCGATTCGGAGGTATATGGAGGTAGACAAAGAGGAGGAAAACCAACGTCTCTTTTCGCTCGCTCATAAAAAGCATATTTTGACGCTTCAACGATAGGTTTGTGGCGGAATGTTGACAGAGTAGTTCGATGTTGATTGGAGTGTTATAAAACACCAACAATAATAATAATAATACACATGTTAGCGAAAAACAAACACAAAATTTACTAGTATACTAAAGAGCTTTCATTCATTTTCAGGATCATTGTTTACCTTTTATCGATACAGTTATGTCTCGAGACGGCTCCTGCGTCAGTATGGAATTAATTCTCTCATGCAGAGGGTGCGTTCTTTTGAACTGTTCGGCATTGACGTTACCCTTCTCTTTAGCCCGCCCAGCACGACGGTAGCTTCGCAATAAAACCTTCCATCTGAAAATAAATTTCAAAAATTCTTTTAAAATGTACACATCGTGTGTTCATTCCATTCATAAATAGATAATTCGCAATAAAAATAATGAAATTCTGTAAAATATCCTAGCATATAGATAAAACTCGAAAAGTTCCAGTCCTACAAAAGCGCGTTAGCAAAGGAAACGAGTTCACAGTTGGCTTATGATTGACAAAAAAGCACTTAATTTTTTCAGTTAACTAATCTCTTCGATATAGCACAAAGGACTTGTTCCCAGTAGAAAGCCTGGCCGGGATGGGTCTTGCCGGACCTACAATTTACGGCTTCCCGTAAAGCGGCACCTATACCTAAACGACATGCCAAACATTTGCCAATGTTGAAGTTCATACCAGAGATGGCCACATATTTATGGCTACCATGACAACACGTTCGAGGGTATACGCATTAGCCATCTGTGCCACGACACCTGCTTTACCGATTAATAGTTATGTATGGGTAAAAAAATACGTAAATTCGCAACGCTTGTACGACTCAGTTGGTCGTTAAACAGTAATACTGGCATCGTAGCACTGATAATTCATAGCTGCATAGATGTATGTAGAAAGTCCTCAAATGGTGATTAAGGCCATGTTTGATTGATTTGTCATTCTTGTGCTAAAAGTTCATCATTTACTTTTCGTCCACTTTGATTAAGCATGGGTGTTCGCCCTATTCGTGCCCTCGACGATCTGATGAAACGTCTTAGATAAATTCATTTATAATGAGTCCTATTTACAAAGAAAATAGGCACAAGCACAGACAAAATTTTTCGTGCAAAACGATTTGAGTGCCAGTTTATGCGGCCACCGCAGAAAATATAGCTTGAGTCCCTCAGTAGTTTTCGGACAAAGATAACTAGTTAAATCTATCATTTGTTCGTCACATTAGAAAAATCGATTTTGCCTAAAGCCACCTCGAAATCTTTTAACGCCAAATATCACTTTCAATTTGCTCACACTTTAACGTCCAGCCGCTAAGGCATTACCGGCCTCGTAACTAATCAGAATTATAATCAGCAAATCAATTTCCACCTACATATTGTATTTTCTACATTTGAATGATGGTTCGTCAGCTCATCTTCGACCTCCGCTTGAACTCTGTTCCTATGCTGAAAATCCTTTTTCCCAAAGCTGTACCCCGAGGCAAAGCCCAGTATACGAATACTGATACGAACATATCTTTAGCAGAGTCTTGAGGCATATTTACTTGTTTTCGCAATGAAATCCCTTAAATCTCCGACCCCTCTGGCTATTAATCTTTTTCGCGATTTCGTCCCATAATTTACGGCAGACAAGACCTCGAGTCATAAACTTTGGGCGCTCTGCTTCGTAAACGTCCAACAGAGTCCTCGTGTCGGCGTCTGTCCGATCGGCCGTCAATTTCTTAGATATTTCTGCAATCAGGGACGAGGAAAACACGAAGTATGATATGCAATTCATTTCATAATAATTTGCGGGAAACGATGATTAGACATAACTTTTATTTTTCTTATAAGCTGACATGAGGGAGATTCGTGTAACACAAATAAGTAGGGTGACAAAATAAAACCTCGTAGAGAAGTAATAAAACTAGAAGACATTAAGGCAACGATAGAGAACAATGAATCTGTTGTTACCATTTTGTACGGTTGCTTCTGTTCATAGCTATTGTAAATTATAAGCACACTTTTAAGCAACAAAACGCAACGTATCAAGCCAATAACCATATACTTTCACTTCGAGATCGAGGATGTTTCTCCGCTAAATGAGCCCCGTCATGGGACAAGGCAGAATTTGCCATTGCCTCACGTCCTGCTAATGTGTCTACGTTCTTCCGTGGTAACTCAACACTGAAATTGCGTGCCTTTTCGAACACCGGGTAGGAAAACAGAAAGAATCAAAGACGCGAACCACGGAGAAGCGACCACTGATCCAAAGTTAAAAAAACGTTTGATAAATGTCTAAGATTCAACCATAAAATGTAGTCATAAATGTCCAGCTCGGTTTATGGTTGTCTATCGCATGATATTCTATCAACAGTGAGATAACAAGGTTACGTCAGAACCTTACCCGACTTACCGTTATTGTCGGAGAACTGCATGGCACAGCAAATACTGCGGCAGAAGCATTGCTTAGATGGACAGTGGCCATCGAACGACTTGAGGGCACAAATGCTATCGTGGGAGCCCCAGTTCCCGATAAAGAAAGACATATGTTTTGCGCAGCAGACCCAGCACGGCTCGCTCTCGTATCATCTAAAGGCGAAGCAAAGAAAATGAGAGAAGAGAGATTGCAAGAAGTTATTCGCGATCCATCTTCAATAGGTTCACAGAGATGGATGTTTTTTTAGTTAACAATCGATAGGATAGATAACAATCAATAGGATGAAAACTGACTGTTTTCGATTTAAACATACCTCCTACAGGTTTCTTCGGATAACGTTTCGATTTCTGCTATCGCTGTTCGTAGTTGCGGTACAAAATGCTGCTCTTAGCAGTTACGTTAGTTAGAGTATAGTTGGAGGTGTGGCATAACTGACCATCGGAGTTAGCCGTTGGCAGATAACTAAACGTTAGATAGTATATCTGAGATCAAATTCGGCGATTGGTATCAAAATGCCGTATTGACACAGCTATATTCAATATTTTGGAGCCGATACATATTTTTATTTGCCCCCTTTTTTGTAATGTTCACGTTATATCACAGGCAAGGTGCGTGAGAACGTCATATACGATATTTAGAGGTAGAATATTGTCTACAACAAGAAAAAAGTGACCATACTTCTCCAGTCCATAGAAAAGAAAATTAAGTATCAGCTATAGCATTCGTTATTAATAGTTATATTGTATAAAGAATGAAAGCAAAGAAAAGGATATACATTGTATGGTCTACTTTCGATAGATAACAGAAGAAATCATTTAACCCCAGTCAATAAACGTGACGAGAGTAAAGCAGCTTCTTTGAGAATATTACTGATTATTTCTTGCTTGACTATTTATATTTGTTTGATGAGGAAACTTAAAGCATACAGATACATTGAAAAAACGCCACACTTATGTGACCAATTCACATGTAGATACACATTCAGTTTTACATATCTTATATGAGTGCAGGTTAATAGATTGTTTGCTATCGTTCTGCTACAGCTCGTGGTCAGCTGGACTTTGGAGGCCAAAGCACCTGATGATGTTTAAAATGAATTGATGAATATGGCGGGCCATAGCGGACGGCTCAGTGCGACACCCTGGCAATGTTTGCACTAACAAAAAACAAAAACATTAAACGTATCGCTCATTATAACCAAAATATAAATGTGGAACTCGTCAAGCCGGCTTAGGTTAGCCAACTTTTAAATCGTGCCAGACAGCAGATCACAAGTAATCACATGCAGGAACGGTAAAAGATAGAATTCGTACAAGAACCCGAATACAAAAAGCTTTATTTTTAAATGTATCAGTGTATCATTAGTTAGCATAGTCGAACGATCCTGTCAAACCACATTATAAGCGTTGACAATCAAACGAATGTCTATGACTACGAGCAACTGCATAATGTGAGTAAACTTGCATAAAACGGTCATTGTTAGTACACAGTTAGTTTTAGCCTGTAAATGTGCTGCTTCATTATTATTTCGACGATAATAAGGCTCTATCCTAGGTGTCTCTTTTGATTTTCCTAATATTAGTTGAAAACGATTCATTTATACAGGCACCTACTGCGCGCATTGTTAATGATAACAAACGCGTGTATTTAGTAAACAGCATCTCTTTTAGGATCTGTCCGAGGGCCCGGAGTATCAGCGGTCCATAGAAAGCCAGCAAGATCATCATCGGCAAAGAGGAAGGAGCTCCTCTCCTTACATTTTCTGTGGTATCGCGCACCTCTGTATGTTTGACAGCAGGAAGGCTCATTGTAGCCACAAACACTGCTGATTGTGGTGACAGCAGGGGGGCAGACAGCATTAGTCGCTGCCGTTTCCACTTGCAGCCAATGTGAGAGAGGCGGTGAGTAGTTTTGGAGCTCGAAGGGAAGCACCCTTCGATCAGAGCCACCCACAAACGAGGCTGTGCGTCCGGAGTATCAAACGACAACAGCAAAAAGCTGCTCTTCATCGTAAGAGGAACTTTTCGTCTACTGTGAAAAAGCAATTTTGCGAGAGGAACAATCATGTGGACCTGACATTCACGTAACCAGTAAGTAGTATAGAAAAGAGTGCGTGGTAGATACGAGTTCGGCGTTGGCGGGGGCCGGCATCACTGAAATTTTGCTTGGCCGTCACAGCAACAACAGCTGCACGAGAGAGCACCCCCGAAATATTGGGGAGCCAGTTCCCCGTGAGTCATCAGCCACACGCAACGGCGGAACAATCAGTAAAGGCGAGCAAATGACCACTGATTGGTGATAGTATCCGGTTTAGTGATTGGAGTTACTGCAAGAGCTCGTGGCTACGTATGTGAACTGAGAAAAATCGATCTTTGGCCGTTAGAGCTCGGTGGTAATTTTGTTGGTAGTTGATACTTTACAAGGACACTTTGTAAATGATATGAAAAATTTGTGGTGAAAGGTCGTTGTGCGCGCTTTTGTCATGCTGTTAATTAACAAATCTTCGCTAGTTATTACCCGCTGTTCGCGGCTGCATGTCGAGTGTAGCGGAACCGCTCTAGACTGAACGGTGTCACGCAAGCAGTCACGTTTTCTTTTAAATTGTAATTAAGGCATAACATTGTCACGTAGAAAACTTTAGTCTTCAACGGTAAAAACGCTCAAATATTCCAATAGCGTGATGTTTGACTGTCTCTTGTCACAATAAAGAATCATTAAGGGTAAACTTTGACGCATATTCAGAGAATTAAATGAGCTAAACTTAGCTGGCTAACTTCAAAGGAATAGGTTGTAATAGTAGGTCCTATTAAAAAAAGTGAATTGTAAAATGAAGAAGATCAACATAAATTGCATGTTTATTATATACGTTTGATGCCTACATCTATTGCGCCAGATAGGTGGCTTACATTTCACACGTTGACCTTAATTATCCGATTACAGCGGATTACGAGCATATTGTACGCAATAGTTAATACATACATTAGTGTTTATATAGTTGATAAGTAGGTAATCCCATCAATATTATGTATATATTGTTCAAAACAATAGATACAAATGTTTCTATTGTTTTGCGAATGTTAGGCGCATTGAATCATTATAATTAGTTTCTTAATTAAAAGACAGGTAGGTAGTTGTTTTTGATTTGTGACAAGGGAGTGTTTATTAAAGAACTTTTGTTAGTTATTCGAAACTTTGATATATTCGGACACCTGCAGATTATTTTCAACGTCTGAATTATCGCTTTATTACCTTTGATATATAGACTGAATAGGATATTGTATACTTAGCTGATTAACTATGGTATCCTTTTCAGCAGTTCTAACAGTTTTTCACCTCATATACTTTATAAAAGCTCCATAGGTAAATTTTTCGTGATACAATATTTATTTATTCATTAATGAAAGCTATAGTTTACTGGCCTTTCTGAACCATATCCGTCTGTGAGGTTCAAGCATATTTATTCTTTTGTGTCGTAATTGATTCTTCGTGCGTCGAGCTATTTAAAAGTAAACATCTAAAACCAACGCATCTTTGCGACTTTTAAACTTTCGCGGGCGTTTTCATCGAAAAAATTTTAGCTAAACAAATGTTATGAATTTTTTTTCAATATACTAAATTCATGTTTTCACTATTTTTTTTTTTCTAAATCTATTTTATTGTATTGTGTAAACACTTGAGCTGTCTTTCTTTTACCGCCATGTATATCCAGTGGGCCTAGACGGAAATTTTCTAGGAAATGCCTAGATTATGGAATCTTTTGACCTGTTCAATACGTATGAAATCTTGTGGAAATAAACAAATTGTTTTAATAGTGGTTCGCATTGTGATAACCGGGCAGCTTGAAACTATATACCTTTAAAGATATTAATATTTTTTTTAAAAAAGAGAGGAAAACCGGTCTGATTTTGTGAATGTAGACATTCTATAGTTTGAGCAAGTCTCAACAATTTTTGAAAATTAACTTTTTTTGTAAGTAAAGAACTGACATCTTATTTGATTACCCATTTTTTTAAAACCTGTTACATATCAACAAAAATTCATCAAACTAAGTTCAGATGCTGAGAACTTCAAAACCGAGTTTTGCTGCTCTTTTTACAATTCCGCTCGTGGAACGTTTCATTCATGAGTCGCGCAGTCAAACAATTAAGCCGCGTTTATTTTTGATTCCGTCTGCTACTTACCACTCCTTCATTTGTCTTTTTCATGTCCTATCTCATTTTACCAACGGAAGTTTTAAACTAACCTCGACTCTATGTTACTCCTTGAAATCTGCTTTGACAGCGATGCAGATGAGCTTGGAGGAGGAACTGCGACTTCCGTCGTCGGACCTCCGAAGCCACGGTTGGTATCATGGGCCAATTGGTAGAGCGGCTGCGGAGTCCTTACTCCAGGAAGACGGCCATTTTCTAGTAAGGGACTGCCTCTCACAGCCGAATGACTTTGTCCTGTCGTGTCAGCATGCTGGTGGACGATTGCACTTTATTATTAATCGTGTCTATATCCTCCCCAACACTCTTTATGAAAGGGTTCAATATCAACTGGAGGATGACCTTTTTGACACGATTGCTGATCTCGTAACATTTTACGTCGGAAATAAGCAACCGATCACACAAAGATCAGGAGCGCTTATATCACGGCCAGTCGTACGAACCGTAAGTTTAGGACTCAACGCAGAAGCACCTCCGCCTCCAAAGCCGGAAAAGGTTTACTGCAATGCACGCAACGAGGAACGCCGATCCCTACGAAAGGAGTACTATAAATATAAGTTTCGTCCAGTGAATCCACAATTAGGACAGCTTGACTTTACTGGAGTGGAGTTTAGTAACAGTGGTATCAATGAGGCCGCACTTCGCAACGTTCAAACGGAAATTCGAGACACCGGGGTACGAGTTTTGTCCCGAGCTCTCACTGTTGTCAACATCCGTCTGCTGAAGTTGGACCAAACAGGCAACGGTAACGAAAGTGACCTTGGTCTAGGTGTAATGAGTGGACTAGAAATACTCAGTTTGCCTCAGGGAGATACATTGCGGACTTCGCTTGTCGAACGAGCACACTACCTCAAACTATTGGTGATAGCTTCGTTGGTGCTCTCCGATGAGGCTGACCTCGCCCTGGCAATGTTGACGAAGTGGATCCAGGTTGCTTTGGAAGTCAAAACGGCCCTTGGTGACCTCTTTGGGTTTCAGTGTATAATGATGGGTCTTATGTCTCCACCTGTAACTCAACTCAAGTCGGTGTGGCTTGCATTACGCCAAAACAATACAGAGCTCGCGTTGTTGTTTGAGACGAAACTACGTCAAGAGGTTACCGCTTTGCTCGATCGATGTGACAATATTGCTCCAAATACATGCATCCCAAATATCTACTTCTACATAAACGTTGCTCATCAGTTTGTTGAGAAAGTCGATCGTGTACATCTTGAGAAAATGGGCCCTGACAATGGGCTCGCAACGCTTCTTTCGCAGCTCGAGAACATTCGGTCAATCATCAATCAAACGGAACGTTTCCATAAAACCGCTCTATGCGTACTTCATGCATCAAGTGCGCCCGGCAAGCGCTATTCGTTCTTTGAGACGGAAAACCTAATTGCGCTGTTTAACACAGAAGGATACAAAGATATGACTTGTAAGCAGCGTTCAAAGCACGTCCTCGATGTTTTTGAAGAGCTCAGCAAACGGGGTACCCTGCTGGTTGAAGAAACCGGCCTCATACCGAAATCACTTGACATGTGACTTTTGTTTTTAGCTATCTAAGGACGAAATTCAACCTAGAAGCAACACACGATGCATGCACAGATGATTTTTGTTTCTACGAAAGAAGACCGGAAATTAGCATACGTTTTAGCTGACTGATCTTATTATCTACTAATACAACTCTTCACATACCATTGCGTACGTTGTAACATGATGTAATAGCGATGGCGTGCCATACAAGTACCTTACGTTGTATCCACTAGCCAAATCAGAGCGAACATTACCACTATACAGTTCCTAATAACGCCCAGTATTATACTAACACATATACGCACGAAGATGTCATTTATATATTTGTATGTACGTGTATATGTGCTAAGAAATATTTAAGTACGCAATTAGTATCAGTCGAGATAAAGAGATAATATACAAATGGAGTACATTATTAATATAACTACACTGTAACTATTGTACTAACTGTACTTCAGTACTAATCGGAATATTTATTATATAAAGTTTATCCAGGAAAAATTGTGATTTTTTTAATAAATAAAAACGTACTGTGCGACCGACTCTGAGAGATACGTAAACGGAAAACTTTCGAAACAGATAGATGCTTGGGTAGATAAGGTTCCACAAGTGCGTATAATAGCGCTAGACTCTAGTCAATGGCTTAACCCGTCGCCGTGCAATAGTCACACAAACAAGGTGACACTTACCAGGTACCAGGCCTATACGATGGTAAGCGCTCGAAACGAAATGTCAAACAAATGGGTGAGCAAACGTCTACTTTTCCTGGCTTATTTCCGAAGGAAAGCTAATATATAGAAATGATATATGAATAGTTAGTGTTTGTAAACGATCATCTTGGTTCCACTGGAAAAACTATATGCGAAAAAACAAGTAGACTGCAAATCGTTTTGTTAGATGCATTCCGGCATAAACCAATTCCGCAAGTTCATTAAACATCTTTCTATATTTAGAAAAGTTCCTTGTCATATTAGGCACACGTAGGCACATTCTCGGACTCTAGGGATGCCAGCTCGAGCAGAATAATGTTGTTTGACTACAATAGAAAAATATCGGAAACAATATGAGTATAGCAGTCAAATGTACAGCGATTTAATAAAGTAAAGAGAACGCGAAGAAGCTTGTGTTGTCTTTCCTTCACTAGTATCGGATTGTATACCAATGAATATAGACGGAATATAAACAGTTAAGATTTGTTGAGGACAGGCAATAAAATAGAGGAGCGAATAAAAATCATACGCCCTATTATACAAGGGGCAACTTTGTTACTTCGATACCGTTATTAATTGTAAAAAATACAAACAAATTAATAGCAAATAGCGAAATCGGATAGGAGAACATTCGTTGTTACGGATGGTTTCAGGTGGGAACGAAGCCGTTTATACCATTTCTAGCAGAAATAGGGCTTCAACGACACGAAATGGACCAAACGTGTGTAAAATATGGCTTTCATAAGATTCAAGCTACATCAGGTTATGTTCAGTCTTCGCTTCGTCGACGGGCATTTCCGATTTATTGTGGGACAATTTTTAGAAACATCTCGGAACGCCAACAAGAAGTACTACTCATATGAGCACAGCTGTAAGAAAATCGGCTCGTAGGTACTGTTAGTTTTTGGTGTGCTAATGATTAATCTTCACGATCAATGAAAGGGTAAGTTTGGGTCGAGTCGCTCATAAAGTAGCCGCGCAAACTTTTGCCGCGTACTTTTGCGATTGCGGTCTTATAGAAATCAGAAAACTCCAATATAAAATTTTGCGAATCCGCTGGAACGAGCAGTACGAGTTATTAACACGTCAAAATGTCCTCCGGGCGCTATTTAAACCTGTTAGGCCCATCGATATACATAAACATCCAGGTTGATGATATTATAGTCTATGCGTCTCTAAAAGCTCTCTCCATTGCAAACCTAGGCAAAGTTTTACGGTTGGATCGAACAACTGGATATAAAACTTTTTGTCGAGAAGACTTCTATGGTATGAGATTGCAAAACAGAGCAGTATTAATGTCGTAAACCTGAGACCTTAGGTAAACGAGACCTGCTTAAAAGGAACAGGGGCGAGCTTAGCGAAAGCTTTGGCCTTCCTTCAAGGTGGAACTCCTTAGGGTACAATTAATATTCATAATCTTAATTCGTATAATTATCGTCATTCCACTTAAAGATACTATTTATGTTAATGCCCGTTTAATTAACGAATAACGATAATAATACTTTGGCTGCGATTATACTTTACCCCACAGGTATCAATGATCAGCCCGGCCCGGCTACTCTCTGCGAAGTGTTCCACATTGCTTGCTTGCAAAATCCTCATCAACTAAGTAAAAAAAATTATGCCAGGGTTCTGGGATATGCAGAAAAGTCCAGCTTAATCACTGTCCTAATCATTTTTTCATGGAAACGAGGATGACTACAAGTCAACGTGAACAAACGAATAGAAAAATCGAATGTTGTATAATTACTTTATGTTGTCTTCAATAATTCTATAACAAAACAATTAACGTTTATTTGCATTACGAATCGTTTTCGGCCTTTTAAATGGCTACGTAAGGGAAATTGCCAAATTGCTCCCTGTTGCTGGTTATGGTATTTTATGAAGTAACTTTATGTACTTTGAACATTATGTTGTTGTACCGAGTTAGGAAGTTGAAAACCAACTTGTTGCACATGGCTAATTTATGCCATCAGTGAGCCTTAGGGTATGTACATTAAAAGAAAAAAAAGCATAATATAATAATGCAAGACAACTCGAATCGATTGTATTAATCTATCTTATCTCTTTACTTTACCAAATAGCGGAGCCTTTGGATTTGGCCGACCGTTGACAATCCGTCAGAAGACATGGACTGGGCCGATCTTTTGATCGCCATGGTTTCATAGTAAAAAAATCTACGTGAAATACGAAGCTGATTAGGAAATCTTGCGTTTAGAGCACGAAGTTTGGTTTTAATTATAGAGCGTAATGTTAATTTGGCTGATGAGAACGTAAAGAACGATCAGTAATTTCCTCTTCAGTTTGCACGTTTGGGAACAGCGCCGTACCAACGTTTAGAAATGCTAAAGCAGCCACCAGCGTCGTCCGCACTGGTACATGATGTATGGTGCAGAAATGTAAATGTGAAAATCGTCTTGCATAGATGAATGGGTTCAATGTATGTTATAAGACAAACCGTGTTCAAGGTATATTGTGGAAGAAACTATCAGATTTTGTGACCATCATATACCACCAAGACCAAATAATATGGTCTAATAACTAAGCGTATCATGCCGAAAAGGTCGTGATCAAAACAGCGGCCGAGAAGGATCGAGACACGAAAAGAGAAAAGAAATAAAAGCCGCCGAAAAAGCGAATGATCAGCGTCGAACAGACAGAAAAAGACGTCAAGCTACTGGGCAAAGTGAAACAGCAGAAGACACAGGTAATCGACGTCACAGAGACATTATTCTCAAAGATGTACGCAACGTAGAATAAGGTAAGGCAAAAATAGGTCAGGATAACGGGTTAGGACAGTAGGACGGTTAGAACAATATACTACAGTGTATTACTACAGGTGTACACTACAGTGGACACTAAGCTGGGAAAAGCATTAGTTCGTTAAATCGTACCACCGTCTAATGAAAACTATGAAAAACATGGACAGTATATGATCAACTGAAGAATCTAGACTGAATGATCGAGACTTACACGCACTTATCTCTGAATCTTGGATCTCTGAAAAACCGTAACAAAACGACAATTGATAGATTTAAAAAGCACACTTACGTTAACGAATAGTTTCTGTCTAGTTTAATGTGTTATGTAGGGTTGTAAACCCCGACTTTCGCTTTATCTAACTCACACACAACTTTATTTATTCAGGAAAAAAAATAATGAATGACCAGTAATGGTGCAATCGCGCTCGGAGTCCCTCGATCTGCATGTTTGATGCTGGAACACATTTAATGCTTACAATGGATAAGAAATTATAACTTCTTGTTATACATTACATGCTGTATGAAGGACGCGTCACTAAACTCTGTGCGCTGCATTGTGTAATTCTGGTTATATACTGATGATTTCACCTCGTGCGTATGTAATATCCACAGTTTATTAACTAAATAAATACAAATGAATCTATATTCTGCATACATACGCACACTAAGCAGCGTAACCGGTCAGGAAAGACTGCTACTGCTTACACGGAGAAAAACTTTTTTTTATCATTTATTATAAGACAAATAAGCGCAGGATAATTAATCTTATTGTTAGAACAACTAAACATGTTTTTCAAGATCTAGAAACGTATTCTTTGTCGAGAAAAATACAATTCAGTCGCTTCTTTGTTCAATGAACCACTTTATAACATAAGACGTGTTACTTCTATATTTTAAGAAAAGTTCCTTTAATTAGAGTTCTGCTACGGAGATCGCATAGAACGTTGTACACATAAACATGGAGTATTAAGTTCGATTCTAAAAAAAGGAACAAAGAATTTTCGATTATTTCAGTTCCTAATATTAATCTATCGCACAGTGATATAATAACCGTGCGATAGATGATAAGTCTGAATATCATTACGCTCCTTAAATGTACTCTTCCCTCTTTATATGTAGTGTATTTATTTTTTTTTTATACAGTTCATTCGGTATGATCTTCAAGGCAACACGTGCGGAAGGCTTACAGAGGGAGCTACTGGAGCTGAGAGATCAAAAAGAGAGAGTGAAAAGTTTAGCCAGAGAAATGTTGTGATCTTTTTAGCGCAGACATCGAAATATGCTAATCTCTTGGACAAATGAAGCTATAACAAAATTAGATTAACCATATGTATGCCAAGAAAGGCAGTTGATGATTCAGGCGCGCTGACATTTCATTACATGGCTACTTTCAGTGAAGTGTCGTGAGAAGTCCCGCTCATACACACAACCGCCGTAAAACAGCATCTCCTTGTAGATTCTGTTCAGGGCAGCAACTGTGCTTATGAAGCTTTCTTGACTTAGACGTTATGCGGAATTCTATCCATATACACCATCAACCTTCTATTTGTTGGAATTTCGCCGACGTTCGTTGATTTAGCGGTGAGTATTTCGTATAACAATATGTTTCTTTTGCTCATCGATTTGTCATTATTTTCAGTTTGTTTTAAGCTAGCAAATATCCCATCAAAATATTCCTCGTCACTCCACACCCGAGTTAACGCTGGTAGAAATATAGTGCAATCGTATCCAGAGGATGTTAACCGTGATTTGCTTATCGGTTATTTGTACGGCCAAACAGCAAACATCGATTATTGATCAACGCTAGTCTTGCGTCGCTATTAGTACAGCGAGAGTACTGATAAAAATGTACTTATGAGTCAAACAATAAAAGCACGCAGCGTCATTACCGCCACACAGATGCTGACCGAGTCCAGTAGCCAAAGTACTTCGGGACTACGCAGCGATTCAGTACGTGCTGCTGACTGTATTAACGAAATCTACATCTGTCGTTAAGAAAACGAGCAAAAAACCTGTTGCAGTTATCGTACAGATTTACTGGTTCAACGGCAGACAAACTGGCCTCAAGAGTGAATGAATTTAGTGCTTTGCCGCACGTAGATGTTATGTAGTTGCGTCGTTTAACAGAACTTACGCGCAGCCTTCCGGTGTATTTTAAATCTAAATAAGAAATACAAAAGCTAGTCCATACGGCAGATCGCGTTCTGATTAGATATCGTGAAATTTTACTGAATGGTCCGTGTAAAATTAAAAGTTTGGCGGGGCATGGCAGTAAATCGCTAAACCATTTGATGAGATTCGAATAAGAGCTGCCCTATAGTCGTGGTTTTTTTCTGCCGTTAACGTCATATCTTCTGCAAGCTTCTTCATCACTAAATATAACTGCCGGTCCTATTTTAATGTGTTTGTTTAATCTAGATCGTACGCTCGGTCTTCGTAGCAGGCGTTGCAATAACCTAAATTGCCACGAGCTCTGTTGCAGCAAAGCTGAATCACTCAGAGATAACAAAAGCGAAGCCCGATTTAACAATTTCATAATACGTACATTTACACAATGTACTCTTAATCGGTATACTGTTCTAACACAAAGAACACGACTGCTAAACCCAACAAACAACTGTCATTGAAACAACAAGATTCTGTAATTCCTGTACGTCAACTTGCACATGAACAAATTCCTATAAAAGTATTGACGACCAGACCAATTCACATCAGCCGCACGTTCCGTTAACACCGCCCTATGACTTAGGCCATACTGCTGCACATCATCTAGGATCTAACCCGTACTCGAGATTTTCGAATACTGAACTGGACGACCGTCTCTAATTAAATACCGCACAAATCTTGTTATGTTACATAAAAACGAGGTTACTTCTTTCTGGCTTAGAAACGAATTAGTCCAGACCCTTATCTCACCTTAACGAGGTAATGTTTATAGCGTGAAGGCAATGTTTACGTTTTTAATAATGTTGTTATAAATTGCTTAGGCGGAAATGACAATTTTATGAATGCCTCGATAGTGTCTATGCACGGATCTATTATCCCGCGTCATCTTTGAAAAACATCTTAAGTATAGGTGCTTCGATCAGCGCGCCGGGCACACAGCAAGAAAAGGCAATGTAGATTAGCAAAGATCGTGGCCTTGTTGCCGGACGACTGCAATAACTGCTGTCAATTTTCAGTTATTTTTAGGCAAATCTTTCGAACTCTTTTTTGCTCCTTGTGAACACGCTTGTTACAAATACAGCGTTTGTACCAAACCATGATATACTAGCACTGCAAATACATAACGCCTACTACATGCTTATTTCGTACTTATCACTTCTGGGTTTTTCTCAGCGTCGGTCCCCACCTATTGCAGTGTATACATGTGTTAGTCGAATATGAAAATTGTTTTTTTTTTCGAGGGCTACCTACTGGGGCTAATATGCATTTACAAAACGACTTATGGCTCAAACTTTATGATATCTTTGCTCGCAGTAAAAAATTGGTATGAGTAACTTAGTCATAAATATTATTAAAGCATTTTTTAAGCTCATCTTAAGGAACTCAAAACAAAGCGGCAGACATGTAAGATGTTTTCTTTGATCACGTACCCCCATCAAGTATTGATTTTAAATAGTCTAATATTAACACTAAAATTCATATTATAACTAGTACTCCGAATCTTAAAAACTTGTTCTTTACTGCTCAATCGTTTCCGGCAATCGCAATTTAGGTTGATTCTGCTGCATCAGTTACTTAGGGCTCCCGCCTTTGAACATATTACACAACCTAAACAGTTTTCGTTACGTTTCTTGTGCAGTTTTCCTCTGCACTATCAAGTTTGCTTTTCGGCCTGTTATACGAGTAATGGCAACTAGTTACTAAGCCATCTATTCTTTTTTTTTTTTTTTTTCTTAGTGAGTACACTGCGAATGCAACGTGTATTGTTATAATAATAGTTTATTACTGTTGTATTATTATTATTATCTTTATTATTAGTTCAATATACTTCGCAAACTGTTCGAGTGTGCCACAGTGTTTGGAATATCAGCTAAGTGCTTAACAGCACTCATATCTGTTTTTTACACTCCTCTATTGTAAGAATTTATATTTCTCTCTGCCCCCTCGTCCCGAAAAGCATTAGCTACGCATACGGTGCCTTTCGTTCGCAAACTTCGTACCTATCCACTGAAAATTACTCAATCACAAACCACTTTTCGTACTATCATTAATATTGTGCAAAGCCTGTTATTACTTAAAGAGTACGATCGGCAGGATGGGGTGTTTGTCCGCGAATCTTTCTTCCACCATCTTCCGAAATACAAATCCACCTGCGGAGCAATGGCAAACAACAGACACGCATGAGCATAGAAACGTCGGGATGGATAAAAAATGTTCTGTTGTTGGAGCTGATAGAAGCAAACATACGCTTGTTCGGTGTAATTATAATTTAATAGAGATGAGTCAGAAATATTCAAGAGAGTTCTTCCTACTACAAAATCCCTGAACTACAAAAAGCTTGTTAAGTTATTTTGTCTACTTAAAAAGTCCTGGCATTGAAAAAGCAAATAGAAGAAGCAAAAAAAACAAGCAAAAAAAAAACCTAAATTTCTCTTTGTAGTAAGAGTATAGTCTGTCCAACGTGTAACCGCAATCCTTGCTATGCCCTTTAGGTGCATCTTGCAACCATTACAATTGAAAGATTTTCCAGTTTACATAATTCGGGCTTTAGAGTAAATATATAGGCGTTGTTGCAATTAGTGGCGATGTATTATATTTTTATATTACCTGTGATCAGGCGAGCACTTCCAAAGGGTAATCTTGTTGTCTCCACCAGACACTGCCAGCATATCGCCATTCAGTGACCAGCTTACGTGCCAAATGACGTCGTCGAATGTATTCAGTACCTGAAGAACGTTGCCATCATTTCATAAGAATATACTCAATCATACTACTTCTAAATACTATATAAATAAAAATAAATATGAGCAAATGTTATGATTCGATTAAATATACAAAGAGAGAAAAAAAAAAAAGGGCATTTTACTCATACGTATGTCTCACAGTTGCTCTTTAGAATATCGATATATAGCACTGTAATTATTAGGACGTGACACCATAAAATGTCAATCGAAGTCAATAGACATGGCTTTTCAATTTTTTCCCTAATAACCTCTTTCTAAACTTAAATGTAACACACCTGTCCCTTCCAAGTTTTATTCCCGTCATTGGAAGTCCAAATAATAACTGTGCGGTCCTGCGAACAGGAGGCAATCATAGAACAGTTGGAGAAAGCTGCTGATGGACACCAGGCAACATCGCGTACCCAGTCTTGATGGGCTTCCAGACTCTGTTCCTCAACCCAGGAAGACTGGTCCTCGCTATGCAAATCAGCAAACACAAAAGCATTGTATATACGCGAAGAAAATAAGCGAACGTGTTTCGTGTACGTATACTGTTTTGCATTTAAATAAAAGGACCATCGTTAGTGAATTTTTTTCTTACATACATATTTCAGCACAGCAGTAATGTTTCTCATTTAATTGATGATGATCAGCCATTTTGTCAGCCAAACATTCCGATAAAAAATTAAATCCTTTCAGCATAGTTTTATTATTTTTTCGATTTAACTTGGTCCCTACGCAATACATGATTTTCACCCCCTAATGGATTTCACACTACGTACGCCGACGAAAAAAAACACGTTAGCGCAAAGTAAAAGCAGGCACCACAATTATTTCTATATTTTAAGGAAACACATATAGCAAAAGAGCTCCCGTATAATATTCTGCATATGCTTTCTAAAACATGTACCGACTCCACAAGAAGTCTCTACTGCGAAGCATTGCTAGCTAAATAATACTACATTCTTGTACCACAAGGGCCTACCGTTAATTAGCTCTAGGAGGATTCATAACGTGAAATGAACGTAGCGATAACAAAACAATTTACGGTATTGACCGTCACGACATGAACGAACTAGAGTTTTTTACGTTAAGATTCTCCTTTATTCTAGTTTTTTTAAGCAAGGGTTTTTGTGTAGGAGCTCATCATTGCTTGATCATGCTAGAACCCCTTCAATTGATTCTTGCTCTGACGTTGATTTGACTGAATTGATTTTCTAAACTCACGTGGATCTGTTACATATACTAATAACAACGCTCCACAATCTTCTGAGCAATTTCGTCATGTACCACGTGTTTCGACAGCACCAATTTATTGTACGAAAGCTGTCGGCCCGCATTTGAACTATGTAAGTAAAAACAATGAATCGCGAAGCCTAAACCGAAATTCCGGCCAGAGTGAAGTGATCTTTGTGGGCGATCTTCTCTACCTTAACAGCATGCAAAAGCCGCTTTCCTTTTTTCTCCGTGAGTAGGCTAAATGTGCGGCAGTCAACTACAGGTGGAAGACATTCAAAATAAATTTACCAAAGCCACCCGAAATCACTAATGTGACGATAGGCTTCGGCCAAACATGTTAGCGATGCGGCATAGCGGACGTTTTATCGATATCCGCTTTTCTGTTAAAGCTGTACCAAGCAACTCGACAGCTCATTGTCGGGTGGGTCCTCGGATTACACGCAGATCACGACGTGTGCGACGAGCAATTCCTACCATACGGCATCAAGCTACTCAAAATACTCTCGCAACATTTCAACTCGTCATTCAACTTCGAGACGGGCTTCTATAGCGGGCTCAGCAGTACTTGAAGAAGCCGCGTTGGTTATCAATAGAATGGCTTATTTAGATCGGTAATGCAGTGACTTAGCACTGTTCCCAATATAATAACAAACAAATAGTTTGTATGAACATCGAACTAAAAAATCTTGTCCTTGTGAGTAATACCGAACGACGCTTTTCGACCAGTCAGCTAAATGCTCAGACTGTATCGAACGATGCCGTTGGGGCGTTCTTTTCTTTGGCTTTTATTACGTCGATAGTTCTGCTGTTTCAGCGAAGAAGGATGGGCACACCCTCAGCATCGTCATATTCCAATCTCTTAGCGTATCACGCCTATTTCGTCGATTGTTCATGGACATAGAATCGGTCATCGACGCTCCGTTATACTGTCTGGGTTAGCTGTGAATATCACCATAATGCACTTGACCCTGAAGTACATGGCTTTCGCCAAGTATCCATATGTGTACCGCGAACTAGTTAAAGCTGTTAAAGTTAACAATACTAGCGAACAGGCGGAGCCTTCTTGCAACACTTCCAAACGCATCCGAGAAGCAAGAAATAGGGTTATGAACAAGAGTTTCAAAATGTGCTCGATGGGTTTAACTCGATACGGTTAACGAATTTTCCGTGCAGCGAGAGCAATCTTGTCCTTTTCAAGATTCTTAGAGTGCGAAGCTGATTCGATAACTATCTGCGCAACAATGAGTTAACGAGTTAGCTGTAAACGGGACGATTTTATTTTCGACGGAAAGTTCGTAATAACGTTTTTCTACAACATAAATGTATTTACATATTGATTCGCTACATCACCAGTCTGAACAAGTTCTCTGAAAGTCTGTACTTTCAACAAAACTGCTCGGACGGACGCCAGTCGGCTACTTCAGAACCAAAGAAGGATCGTTTCCATCAATTAAATCTAGCACCAGTCATGGCATCGTTTACACATTATATCCTCGTACAATTCCCATGGGGTTCGGTCGCTGTTTTTGCTGAACTGGGTATTCGAAGCTGACAAGTTAAGTGAACAGAAGACAAATATTTGAAAAACACTGCACTGCTGTCCGAATTCTCTTTGGACACCAGTGTGTTTTCGTTAAGTGTAATTGATAAATGTGTGCACCCAAACCTATCGCTGATGCTCTTGTATATGTTAATAAAGTAACCTTGTGGATTAGTAAGTTTTTATTCAACAAAAACATGTGGCCGCTTGTACGAGAAACACGGTTTTGGACTATGCTTTTCTTATGTTAAAATATGTATCTGTGACAAGAAACATCATATTGTATTTTACAATTTATATAATAGCTTTTTACGAGGGAGCTGCTTTATTTACTTAAAAATTAAAAATACCTGTCTCCAGTAAAAACACAAACCAATATATATATATAACCAGGAAAACGTACCTGTATTTCCAGATTTTTACGAGGTTATCACTACCACCGGTAACTAGCCTCATATAAGGCCTTCCAGGTGCTCCGCCATTTTGATGGTCGCTATTTGCGTCACCAATCTGGTGATCCACGTTATCAAATAACGAGCAAGGGGCCACATAAGGCGCCCAGCTGACACTGTTAACACCCATCTAAATACATATTTCAAAATCAGCAAACGGTTACTTTATAGAAAATTGGTCTACGAACATAAAGTGCCCCCTCTGTGGACAGAGAGCGCTTTTAAGGCAATAGGTATGTTAATGCACTAACCCACCCACGGTAGTCACCCCAAAAAAACTGCTGCCCTGGAAAGAGCTTTGCGAAGCAGTCTGTCCGAAATACTGCCGTTTCCTAACAAATGAACAGTGTATTCAGTATTTCAAATATATTATTTAGAATCGTTTTAAACAACGGAGAAACCTGCAGTGAAAAATGTTCGCTTCTATCCTAATCATCGTTATTGCAATTACACATTATTACGGAAGAGTGCAGTAAGCTATAATCTATTGATACTTACGAGATGAGCTCCAGTGATTTTAGAGAGGTCCCAAGTTGCACCATTATTACCGCTACTGAGAATAGAAACACTTCCATCGGAGCTGGCTGCCGCGAACATGAGACCGCACTCGTAAGGGGCAAACTGTACTGCGTTCACGGAGCTATCGTGACTCTTAAATTCGTGCCATTGTGTCCACTGACCAGCGTTCTCACGCCAAATAATGACGCGCCTGTCGTATGAACATGACGCCAAAAGTGAACCGAACATGGGGTGGGCCCAGGAAATCTGCCAGACGGGGCCCTCATGGCTAGAATGTATAAGAAATTGAAAGTACCAAAAACGGTCAGCCAAAATTCTAGCTTAAAACTGAAGGTTAATAGCTATTCAAGTCTAATAAGCAGACGTCACGCATCACTTCACAATATTTTTTAGTCTATACGGCGAATCATCACGATGATCTTGTGATGAAATATATTTTAAAAAAACCAAAGCAAAAAGAATGCAGTAACTCTGATAGGTTTATTATCCCTATTGTTTTAATCTGATTAGCTAGTAATATCTAAAAGCAAATGAAGCAAGAAAACAAATATTTCCAGTGCTGATTTCTACTCACTAACGTAGGTGTGGACAGCTAAGAAATTTCGTGACACTTTTAGCTCAAAGACGAAGAAGGTTACTTCTCAATATTGTATTTACCCTCGCAGGTCGGCGACGAGCTTCTGATTTCCTCCACGCAAATCAAATACCTTGACGCTCATATCCGACGAACATGTTGCTAGACGAGTTCCGAAGAAGTCCATCTGACAGTCGTGCTGAAAAGTAACGAGGTCTACAAATTCGAGAATCCCTTCTACTTGTTGACACAGGCATTTGTTTTTTATTGAGTAAGATTAGGCACTTTCAGACAATAGTTTACGTTTATGCCAGTATTGTGATAAGCATGCTTTACCTTTTATCAAGTAAGTAATAGATCTGCTCAGACATGGCTGTCTTTTATTATGGCCAACACGATAGTAATACGACAGTGTTTCAATTGAGACCCACATTTACAGTAGAATCACTTCCCTGTAGATTTCCGTGCTGAGGAACTTCGATATGAACTGCTTTTATACTTACAATCATGTCTTCATGGCTGGTGTCTACCGTGTTAACCACGGTCGTCTGAAATTGTATAGTTTGAGCATTAGAATCAATTCCTGTGATCTTTTGCATGATTCACTATGAAAACCAATTACTTCAACTTACTAACATTAGCTTGCAGAGAGATCTTAAGCCTAATTAGAGATTTTACGATCTCAAAGTCGCGCCCACTGTGCCACAGTCATACACAGTCACAACAAACACGATGTTAAATGGTTGAATACGCACCTGTTTATTGCGTTTTCAATCGTGTTCATTAAAAAATGGTCTCAATGTGTATCTCAGCCTGATATCAACCTGGCCTCCGATCTAAGTGGTGTGTACAAAGGAGTTTTTAAGAATTATTTGACTCAATCAGTAAATCAGACAGGATCAATGACCAAAACAGGTGGTATAGAGGAACTGCCCACATCAAAGATACACTAACTTTCGCAAACTAACTTTACCAATACCAGAATGCTGTGCCATTTATTTAACTTATCAAACACAATGTGTATGTGTACAGAAAAGCAGCCAAGTTGATCTAAACATATATGATGTTCTGTTGGATATAATATTTTGTGTCCTGTTTTGCCGCCCAAGGCTTTTAAAAGAATTTGATACAAAACCTTGTACGATGTTTCTATATAAAATTGCGGAATACAGACTTATGCATTTCCTTGGTAGGGTTATGCATAATGAAAACATCGGAAGCAGTTTACATGTTAACAATGTGCTATATCAATGTGTAAGTTAATTGATACCTATCCGGTGTGAAGTACGTTCTTTATAAAAATATACCCAACATATAATTCAATGGACCGGTGCACAAAGATATAGCAAGTGTAGCGGATGGTCTTTCATTTTATAACAGATCTTCTCTCTTGTTTTTGTATATGCCACACGTGGCATTATTTCCTACCAGCAACTGCTTCCTTGAAATGCCTAGCGCGCATTGTCCTTATACACCGAGGATAGTCGTACTGCTGGCGCAATAGCGGCAAGCTAGAACTGTACTCGCAAAAACCTCACAAAATGACGGCTCCCTTGTCATTAACCGGTGTGGATCCGATATGTCTGTGTGTTTGCGAGTAGAACGTCGATGACGTGTATACGTCCCGACGGTAAAGTCATCAATGAGTGCGATTCCTAGCCGTCTAAGTGAAGATTTTTTCCTGCTCAAAAAGTAGAGATCTGCGAGAAACAGTCGCATCAGCTATCGCATAGCATTAGCCGGTTTGTTATTGGTCCACTTACCATTTTGGAGGTTCACAGTTTCACCCCGCTGTTCGAACAACCTGCACACAGAATCACAACACCGAACTTCGAATTCGAACGGAGCCAGCGGCAATCAGATTGCACTGTAGAACCCACACAGAACTCGATTGGTGGTGTCGTCTATGGCGACTGCTAGGGCAGCGACTCGCAGCTCTGTGGTGCCCCTATTGTTCCTACTGGCAGGCAAGCGGGCGAAAGCAGTAGCTTACCCAGCCGGTCAAAATAAAAATATTGCTCGACTCTGTAACCGGCATTTTACCAGAGAGGGCTAACAGCAGCCGCTGGAAAAGGGCCGTTTAAACTGTTGGCGGGAAGAAGATGAGACTAATAGATGGCTGATCATAGTAGGAGTGGACAATCTACCTGATGATCGTATTGCGGGCTTTTCATGGGTACGATCTTCGGCTAGTTTATGGTAACTCGAGACAAACACTAGCAAGACTATTTAATACTTAGTTCGTGTTTTATCTGTTTATCTAAATGAAAGAAATGGTTTGAATATAACGTTCTAAGCTTTATCCTAGACATATGAGCTTACAGGTAATTTCATGACGTTTATGACACAGCCATAGGAGATAAAACAAAAATGCACAAACTAGTAGCAAAGTGACATCTATGCTATCGTGTATTTGATGATTACCATAAACTATTACATTCACTTTGACGATCAATATGATTTTTTGATACAATTTCATCGAGCTTGTGCCGTCCAAAAAACAAATCTTTTATAGAAATCCTGTTTTATTTCGGAGAGCAATATATTTCGACCAAACATAGCCGGCTAAAGTATCACAATGTTATACCTAGACCCGCATCAGAAATATGGAGCTGTTCCAGTGTACCACGGTCCACTGAGGTATAGAAAAATCAAAATTATAACCTGGAATGAATAACCTATTATCCAGTTTGACTTATGGGTCCACATAAGAACATGATAAATATGAAAACAAGATAAAGTTAACAGTAGTATCGGCAGTAGATGTTTATTAGTATGACGCATGGTCGTTTTTTGTTCTCATCTAGAATAGCTAGGATCAGTCAATGGTAGGTTCCCTCAACTTATAATGAGGATTCATAGATTTCATCATATTCTATACGTGGCCCTTTGATATCTTCATACGCGGCATAAATGCTTACTTCAAATAGAAGACAAAGGTGAGCTGTAGTGTCGTCTTAATCAGAGATTGACCGGGATCGTGGCTATATGCCAGCCTGCGTTCCGTTCGATTTTGGGATCGCTGATTTGACCATTTGAATGCATCTTTCTAAAAGACCATTCAGCTGAGAATCCCAAATGAGGTTAAGTTATATTGAAAATACCTATTTTTTTTTAAGTCTATTCATTTTCTTCAAAACATTTGACTACTCAAGATATAGTAGGCCAGGATTAAAACAAATTTCGCTGAGCATGTCGTAAGCGATCAACCACACCTGTAGCATATATAGAACTGCACTAAATACGGTAGCACATCGCTTTCACCAAACGGTCTTTGGTAACGTAATCCGCTGCTGCATAGTATATCTGGGCTTTCACGTGTATGAGGCCTATTTCAATTATTTTCTATAGTTGATCAACCCCTTTTATGGGTTAAAGTGGCTACCTCGGAATACAAAGATTATTTGAATAGTAACTTTACAGGGCTTCAGTTGATTTTTTGCTTCCAGATCGTCCAGTGGTCGACTTCTTCTAGTAAATCCCATACAAGCATATTATAGTGCGCCCTGGATCTCACTCCCTGTATTCTTGGCCATGAAAATGCTTTTTTGAGTTTGAGGGTTCATTTCATCTTTGTTCTTCCTTCCTGGGTGCTGGTTTTAATCTGGTGTATGACGTGGCCATTCATTCAAGAACATACATTTTTCCGAGATGTTTAGTTAAATTAGAAAAATATTTTCTTAACGAACGTTTCTACAATAAGCACGTAAAGCTATCGTGTCTATACCTAAAACACTTCGCGGCTAATGAGAATTAGTTATGACGCAGAAACTTGGAATTTAGAAGAGACCTCGAATTAAAGCTGCAGCTTTCACTCCAGTCTGTTTGTGACATGCCAGTGTCACAGCTTGTTCTAAGGTTAAGGTTGGATTTGATGGCAGGTCTGACGGCAAGCAGGTTTCCTTGTGTGATCCGTAATCGTGATCAGGAACTTTTACAGGAGTGGAAATTGGCGCGCCATTTCAGACCATTATCTTTATTGCTGACATTGTCAGGTCATAAAGATTTCGTATATCGATACTGGATAAGGTTTCTGAACAGTGTAATATACATATTAGACAACACGTTATCTAGCGTTTACAATTACCAACCTGAAAAAATATCTCGAGCTGCGTGAGCTAGTCAACCGTGAAACTAGTATTGGCCACTGGCGTTCAATGTGCTCGAATATACGAACAATAATTTTTATGAAAATTTTCCAGAGATAGCACCCTTTTAGCGAGAAGTTGTAGTGATAAAATTGATGAAGCTGAATGACTGGAAGGCCATGCTGGCCTTTTTACGGCTTCCATAGTAAAAAGCGGAAAAATTCAGGTACAGAAAATTGTGAAAACCCTCTCAGCTAAGAAAGACATCTAACCTCATCAAGATGCCTGCTAGGCATGGTGTCGCTCAGCTCGATGCGGCTCAGCCCGTGGTAACAAAATATTTATTGTATAGTAGCGTGCTCGCATGCTTAATTTTAGGGCACGCGGTCGTTAAAGTCTGAATCTTGGCATAGACAAGTTTCGTGTGATGCTAACGACCAGCCGTTTGAAGTAATGCTAGACAGCTTAAACGCCGGACGTTAAGCAGAAAAAACCGATGCAGCTTGTTTCAGATGGACGTATTTGTCTTTATTTCATATGTGTGCGAACAGACTATGCGCTTAAAGCTGTCCTTTCTTAGGACGTCCTTCTTTATTTTAACCAAATTCAAGAGAGCTTTTGTATCACTGTTTTGACATTGTTTCAAGGTCCAATCAGGGCTGAGAGCTCAATACGAGCATAAATCTAGATTTTTATTACAGCACGTGAAAATGGTTTGCTTTTAGCTTTGTAGTTAAGCAATGTGTCGGACAAACAATCTATGCCGCTAAATAAATCTTGCTTATGAGATGTATTCTAGAATCCAACTAATGCTGTGTTACACCAGCGGACCGTAAACGTCGAAAATTGGTACGCGTTTTGTGAATTTTTTGAAAACCTATGCAAGTAGCACACGTACGGTAAAAATACGAAACTAGTTAAGTAATGTGAATGAGATATTTTATATATTATAGCATTTAAAAGTTCTATTAATTTATTCTATCATAAACTGGTTTATATAAGCATATATTTGGTTAAGAAAAACTTAGCTACCCGATCGCATGATCAAATCAACAATTCCATTTACTTCACGCCGTTTGTGTAGACACACATATAATAAATAACACAATAAAGAGCTATAAATGTACGATGTATATTAGCACGTTTAACTGGCTAGTTATTAGAGTTCGCAAGTTAATCTAACTTGGTTGCAATGGTCGGAAAGGTATCAAAGTTTTACAAAATTTGTAGCTATAACGCTTATTGAATTTTCTTTTTTCTTCGTTCGTTCGGCTTGCGAAGACGATGTAGGATAGAACGAACTAGTTTACCAAAGAGCAGAATTTTCCTTATAAGTCAACACTTGATAATATGTTCTTGTCGAGTTGCTTTAGAGGTCAATCGTTTGAGAAAATGTTGGCACTGAAGTGTGGCAAGAACGTTGCCACCCTATTGCCTCCGGTGAGAGCATACATCACTGGCATACTGTTATAGGGTCTACTTTGTTCGGTTTATGGGCTGTAATATTAGCTAATACTTGACTTCTATCGCCGACGCGCATTTGCTTACTTAGTTCTTTGTTTCATATATAATAATGAACGGCAACCCTAATCTAACAATGACTTCTTATGTTGCCTAAAAGATTATACCTTACACAAAGAGATTTGTGTGTTAAGGGTGCGTTATAACAGCATCAGCTCTTCTTGATATATGAAGTGTTTACTGAAATTTAAGAAATACAAATATCTTCCCTGTATTCATCACTAAGGATCGTTGGGTGTCACTCCGTAACGATCATATTTCGCTCTGGCTCGATCGGGAACAATCTTGCAACTATTAATGGAATCGAACGGCATAGAAGTAAGCGATTTTATAATCATCATTACTTACAGCCGATAATAGGAAGAATTCAGCTATACCTGGTTTTATGGGGACCAGGCTCGCTGACTCATATCTGGGTAACAACAAACTGTGCCTATTAATAAATCGGTTATATGCTGTACTACGGCTCAGCCTAAACAGGGCAGCTTTCTTCCTTGTCACGTTACACCAAGCCGTTGATCATCGTTTATGCTTGCCTTGCCCTATTCAGTATTGTAAGTTTTAATTAACGTTTAATCGCTGGAGCCAAGCATAACAAGTAGCGATCTATAGACTTTTTGTTTTCGTATGAATTATTTAAAAAAACAAGCAGCGAAAGGCTCAATTGTCACTAGTTATTCAGATTGGAAGGCAAATATTAACTACGCTTTGTTAATAATATACAGTTTTGTAAAGCTGCTCGAACTGCATCGAATTCAACTTTTGGCGCGCTCGTTCAAATATCGAAAGGAAAGACCAGCCCCGTTCCTTTCCCTCTGTCTTGTTGGCCTTAACAGCCCTTCAACGCCTGCTTCAACTTCGAAAATGAACAATAATAAACAGCTTAAGTTTCGGTCAACGAGCGATTGCTATGTTCATCAGCCGGCCGAGTTAACCCAACTGCCTGGTATTATGCACGGTTCTGGTCTGTGTTTAACCTCTTGGTGCTGTCCTTTCCCGTTTTGAATGCGTTGGCGTTGTAACATTCTTATAGTCAACTGATAGTTCTGCTGCTTATGTTGCAGTCCGGCTTGTCTCCCTTTTTCTCCCTCTCTGGGGTGCCCCTCTCACACTGTGTTGAGTGTAAATCCGTTGTTGGTAAAAGAGCGTCAAGGGGCAATCAAGTGTCATGTGCTGTTAGGAGAGGCTCGGTACCATTGGCGCCTGAATAATTGAGAACAGTTTGCCTCAGGCAAGTGGATAATAAGAATAAGAGTGGCTATTTGTGTTGTGGTAACGGCATGGTTGTGTTTGGCTTGCACACTGCGAATGCCCATTTATGTCACGTAAAAGTAACTGTGGCAATAATGTTTTTGGATCATCTATAGTTGTTATATCCATTAGAAGTAACATGTGCCAAGGGTGAAACATGTCTATCTGGAAGAAAGACCAGTGCCCGTGAAAGAGTGACTTGATATGTGCTGGTCAGCATGCGTTTTCTAAGTGTGTCGGATAAACGTTGAATACGACGATCGGTGACGAGTTAGCGATATAATTTCATTGCAGCCATATTAGCAGATACCGTAGTAATATGGAGAGCAAAAACCTACCTGGTATAGCGGTGTTTGGCTCGGGTCGAACTGTTCGAGTGGTCGTGCCACATCTTCGATTGCGCGGTTTTCGTATCGAAGCTCTCTGGGCTCGTACAGCCGATCTTGCGAAAGAGGCCGCAGCTGAGCTGGATATTCCGTTCTGGACCACTCGTGAAGATGACGCGCTGCTACGGAAGAACGTCAGCCTTGTGGCCATTCTTTGCGAACCGCATCTTCACTCAGGCATCGCTGTGAAGGCTCTTCGAATCGGTAAGCACGTCCTCTGCGATAGGCCGGCAGGCTTAGATAATGCCGACGTACTGAAAATGGTCCAAGCTTCACAATACTACCCGTCACTGATCTCAATTGTGGGTCACACACTCCGGTTTCTGCCGTGCTTCGTTCATATGAAACGTCAGTTAGCCGACGGCTACGTCGGAGAAGTACAGAGCATAGATGTCCGAGTGATGTGTGGGAGCTTATTTCAAGACCGTTACTCATGGTTGCAAGATGCTCGCGCAGGAGGTGGGGCACTAGCGAACTTTGGTAGTCATCTCATCGATATCATCAGTTTTATCACGGGTCTACGTGCTACTCGAGTTATGGGTACTCTACGAACGTTAGAGGTATCAAAAGATGTGTTTCATCAAGCGCAGGCCGACGATCTGTGCGCATTCCAATTGGAAATGGATAACGGGGCGCTCGCGACCGTAAACATTAACACACGCTTTGCTGGCCAGTACTCTGAGGAGTTAACGATATGTGGTATAAGCGGCATTCTCGTTGTGCGATCGGGTGACCTGTTTGGCCAAAAAGTGGGATCAATGAAAGAGGATGTCCTCTACCTAGATGTCGAAGATCTTAAACAGTCGCCGTCGATTTTGCCCCGCAATATTACGGACCTCACCAAGGAGAAGCTTCAGGAGAAGATTCATCCGCCACATTTGCCTAAAGCCCATGTTAAAGGGTGGATCAAACTGATCGGCTCCCTGAAGGAGGCCTTCGTTGCGAAGCCCAGCCTCTGCCAATGGACAAAGGAACGTGTTCAAAGCGCAGCAACATTCGAAGAGGCATTCTACGTACAGTGTGTCGTTGATGCTGTACGCCAGTCTTCCACCGATAAGCAATGGGTGCGGGTAGTTGCAAATGCGAACGAGATGCCTATCCTCGAGCGACACGATGCTTCCAATAAGCTTTATACTGGACTATATCGAGTCAATCAAGGACTATCCCTGTAGACTTTTAAAGAACCGTATTTGCATCGTTTCGTCCCTTGCTTCATAGTAGAACATCCACTAAATTTCATCTAAATTAGGTCATCCATCACTCTCCCGTTAGATTAGCAGCTGCGCTTCATCGAATACAATCACAATACTAATAGTAGAGACAACGAAACTCTAAATGACCAAAAAATAGCCGTACGACGTGTCTTTACTATCGCCTGCAATCATCACCAGATGAGCGCGAGAGGCAGTTGAAGTCGCTACATGTTTACTAGGCGTGTTATCGATCGAAATCGTTGGATTCAGCAAGATCAGTCAGCTGTCTGCGATGATAGGGGCAGCCTGCCAAAGTCGACGAACGGACCAACACACAGCCAACTAGCTAGTCAAACAACGCGGCAATGACACCGACCAGCTCCAGGATAATCTGTTCTCCGAGGATCGACGCACAGAAAAGGCATCACAGCTCCTGTATAGGGGGAAGGGTGCCGCGGTAACCCTTGTCGAGGCCGCCACCGCAAGGATTTGTTCACATTGAATTCCCATCTCACGATGTGCCTACGAATAGAATATTATGAATATAGAATGCGAAACTTGATATAGAATTTTTCAATTTTCGAATCAAATGGACGGGTAAAGAAACATTTTTCTGGTGGTCAGTGTTGTCAGTCAATTTGCCTCTTATTAAGCAGCGATGTTAAGAGTTCGGCATGAAATCGGCAAGCTGACGGTATTTATCTTATAACCTCTGAAAGGTGAGCAATATACGAAGGTAACAAGTGTGAAAAAGTAATGAATTGTAAAAAAAAAAAAAAAGGTGGGCCATTGAGGGAAACCAAAGATTAGCTGATCTCATTTAGTGCCACTCTGACCGAACAAATAGAAATACACTTGGATTGGACTGTTGTAGCTATAGTGGTGCGTATCGGTTTGATTTTAATCATATCTATAATACCTGTCTTGCATATCTGATACGTAACTAGATTAGCTATTGCATGTACCTGTCGTTCAGCCAACATTCGAAACAAACTACTGTATAACGCTATACGCTTTCCGCTTGAAAAATAGATAATATCGTAATAGAAAGATATGTACATTCATGGAGTAAGCAGAGATATTTTGTAAATAGCACAATAATATGTATGTTTCTTTTGTCTATATAAGTATTACTATTGTTATTTTTACGAGGGGCTATCTGTCGATTTTTTTAAAAAATTTACCGTTATTTTTAACATCTGAAAAGACCCAGCGTACGTCACGAACTAGTCAACTTTGATGTTAGTGACTGCAGTATCACTAGACGGTCGTCTGTGCATGAATTGCTTCATAGAATAAGTTCCACAGAAAACAATTTACTTTGTATATTAGCCCCATTGAGAGATAATGTTATAAGGGTAATACGAAAAAATAAGCCGATGACGTCAATTTGTATATTAACAGATTGTTACAAGCAATGACAGGTTTGCGCAGTCCCTCGTTATCTCGTGCAGACGCTATAGTATATTTGTGACGGAGTGTTGAATTTGTGCGAGTTCCGTGCCTTGACTACAATAATAATAATGATCATAATAAACAATTGTTCTTATAAATATCGGTATTCTTCGAATAATTATGACTTGCTATGTTCAATAAAGTACATCCTACTTGGGATATCTTTGATTGATGTAGTCTGTACACGAATAGGCAGATGGGCGAAAGGCCAGTAAACTGAGACGGTCTCTGACATCACGCCAGGACCAGTTTTACGTTACGTTGACACATAATACTTCGAACGAAGTACTACGAAAAAAATGAAAATTAGCTTGCACTTGTAAAAGCAGCTTCATTTCTAGGTAATAAAGGGCATAACAAAGATATGGGGTGTGCGTTTTAGAAGATATCGAAGGGGGACTTGTTCATGTTTGCCCTACAATCCTTATCGTCGCTGGCCTCGAGCGTCTCGACCGAAGGTGCGAGCCTGTAGACGTCAATAGAACGACCTTTTTTTTAAATCGTGAACGAATGTCCCTGCGAATTCTATTCTACGTAGATGTGGTATTGCTTGGGTGTTGTTCAGTATTTTTGATATGGACCCACCTATTTAGCCCCGGGTCATAACTTGCGTGACCATTATATCTATGCAGTAAAAATTTATAGCTGATTAACATCATGATGAACGAGCAAGTATATTGCATGTAAGAATTGTACAGCATACTTTCACTACTACTACGATTATCTTTGGTCTGAGCCTTCAGATAGACTCCGTTTTTTATTATTACATACACTTACAAAATTAACGTCTTCAACATAAATTACTGAGAGCCATTGTTCTTCTGCGTGTTGTAATAAACATATTCTGGTTTCATGTAGCGACTGGGAGATGTTCCAGATCAGTCGGATCGAACTCGTGAAGACGCAGTCGCAGTAGTACCAATATCCATCCACGGTCCGGAGGTTTTTGAAAGTTAACTAAAATCAGACTGTGAATTGAAGGAGCAAATCGAACCGTCGACAATTGCCACACAACTATTACAAATAGTTGTAGATACAAATCGATTGAAACTAAACGATAGAAGCAATTTCTATGCAGTTGATACGATGGCGCATCACACCTTGAATAGAGGATTTCATCGTTACATAATCGCGCCGTCGGCAAGACGACGGTGCCAGGTGACCACGTCTTCGCCTACGAGTATACATACATGTTACGAATATAATTCTATTCTATGCAAAAATGTTACGTGGAAAAAAGTTTAAGGCAGATATTTTTGCTGATGTGAGATACCTTCTTTGGTGACTCTAAATAATTACAGATTCGACAAAGCCGAAACATAACATTTTTTTCTTGGTTATAATCACGCAACTTCTTTATATCGAAGTTACTAACGAAGTCTGTTATTTTATGTTTAGTCATCCTTTAAATGTTTCACTTAGCGAAAAATTCAATTTCTAAAACACAGTAACGGGCACAATTCCGACCGTAGCACCTCGCACTATTTAATGAGTAGCGATGATTTGCCCTATAAAGATGCAGTTGTTTAATAATAAATGACTGATAGCTAGAATAATTTCGAAAACGGCACTTTAAAACTAACTAGTCTAATAGAAATTTTTGGATATATACGAAAGAGTAACTAACTATTGGCTCTGATAAAAGACCAGCTCCCTACACACATATGTATGTGTTTTTTATTATTGCATGTGTATGTCTTTTATATTTTTTATTATAAGAAATGGTATTAAGAGCTGTTTTCAGTTTATATATATATGCCACTGAAAACAGCTCTTAATACCGTTTCATCTAATTATTGGAAACAGTCTACCTCCTGAATTTGACATAAATTTGTCCCTTGCCCTATTACTTTTCTTACTCAGATTGAATTTGGTACAAAAACTCTATCCTTAGACCCTATCTGACTCTGTCTTAGAGGCGTTGTTGTCTGGCAACCCAAGCTTAGTCAACTTTAAAAGGACTGGTAATCCACGAGTGTAATCATGATCTGATTTTATGACTCGTTCTACGCTTTGGCAAAGGAGACAATCGTCTCGAACGGCTGCTGCTCGACGCTAGCAGAAATCTAGGATTGTTTTCTCCGTTATATAGTAAACCTCGAACAATCTTTAAATAAATGCGAATTTCTATCCTGTACTATTTGTTATGCGTCACTTCAGCTGACTCCTATCGACGTCCGTCTGCGTTCAATTTTTAACTTAGACCACTTGACGTGTTCGAAGGTTTACATGCTATCGTTGCTCTGTCGCGTGCGCACGCATCGTGCAGTACAGCGAGATACAACAGCAGAACTAACTAGTTCACGCATTTCTCATATGCACTTTACATGCATATACGCGAATTGCCTTTGTTAGCCGATATGCGGCAAAAAATATTGCTGCAAAAAGGAAACGGATATAGAAAGCAGATCTTTGTTTTTCTAAATAAAACAATTAACAAGTATTAATCCATTCAGTCTAACCATTTAGTTCATTTAGGTTCCTTAAAGCATAAGTGGTGCGATAGAGACTGCCATTGTCAAGCTGTGGCTGAGCGGCGGTGTGGTCGGAAGCAAAAAAAATGCTTGATATTCGTAAGTGCGTTGTTCATGATTTCTTCACTGCCTGGGGCAGGCCACAATGCGCGTAAGACATATCCCATGGACGCCATGGAAATACACACGGCTTAAGACGCACCCAGAATTCAGTAATCCTTCGCTAGTGACATGTGCTTCGGCAATGCGGTTGTCACTCAGCGTACGAAATCGTTTCTGCGTTCTGCGCTCGCTCCAAAGGGTACCTGTGCATCACCTCTGTAAGCAGTTGCTGAGGGTGCGTGACAAGCGTATGCTTCTTTGATTTCCTTTTACATACAGCACATCTCGTAGGGATATTTTTTGTGGGGCAATAAAGAGGCGAGAAGTAGGGGGTCTGGGGGGGGGAACAGGGTAGAACGGCTTTAGCTATTTTCTGGTAATTCAACAATATCCTTGCTGAAGTATTTGCCGTTCCGGTCACCACCGGGAAACTTTTCTGCTTTCGACGAGGATCCGACAGATGAGACGAAAAATATAAGCAATCTTCAAATGAAGCTGTCTAATAGCCGTTCGTAGCCAATGTACGAAATAGCGCCGTACATTGGCTACGAACGGCTATTAGACAGCTTCATTTGAAGATTGCTTATATTTTTCGTTGGCTCACCTTAGCGTCAGTAGCGGGCATGGAACATAGTTGTTGCGCGTTACATATGAGCGAGTGCTTATGCTTTGTCGTTATTGTTATTATACGTAGGTGGACGAGGAAAACATATAGTTTGTTTTTTCTGGGCGTAAAACACATATATTATTGATTTGCTTAATACATTATCGGGGCTTCAAGCAGGGCTTCATGAGCAGGACCTTATTGCCATTAGCTCTGCGATTTGTTAACGCTTTCCAGTCACAATTATCTGAATGCTTCACATGTCTGTTACACGGCCCTTATGAAGAAACCACTTGATTATGAGTCGAATGTCGTTGGAGCATAGGAACACACTTTGTAGATTTGATGCATAGGGGTGCCATACACGGCACGCAGTTTCAGCGGCTTCCAAAGATAGCCGCTTACCCTTATGTTGACGTTTTGTCCATCGGAAACGAATTTCCATTACCTGAAGTGTGGACGTACTAATAATACTGTGTAATAATTATCCTTGTAAAAAAAATACGTTGCTTACCCGTCACTTGCAATCCTCGTTATAGGAATTTGCTTTCGGAGTGCCTGGGTAGGTGAATTCTTTTGGGTTTCACTACCTAATTGTGTATATCGGTTGCTATTTAATCTATTTTCCGAGCTGGCTATATTAATAATATATAAAGACGCGTAGAATGTTCTTAAGGTAGTTTTTGTGTTCGGGGTAACAAAATAAGGTAAGGACAGCTCGGCTATCTGTTTTGACAGACGGATCTATTTGCAGGATGTATATATATGCAGCTCCACCTGAGGTTTTACGGAAGCTTGATTAATTGCTTCTAGCATGTAGTTTCGAAATTCCGCAGCCGATTTAGGCTATTTAAAATACGTTTTCCTTTTAATGAAAGCTTTTAGAAGAGATACTGTCCTCACGCAGGCCATTATAAATGACGCGGAAGTTCAACAAGATTTAAAAAATCTGCAGTGAAGAACTTTTTTTAAGTAAGCACTAAGTTAAAAATCGTGATTTCAATTCATTATAATAGAGCGTATGGCCACTTCTGTGCTCCGCTCCTGTCCTATTGAATTGTAACTCGAGTCAAGGATAATGATA